TTTTGAACTACAACCAAATTTATATGCTTTATGTTTTGCTATAAGAGGCGGTATAATACATTCACAAGTCTTAAAGTTTTAGCTATAGTCTCCATCGAGAAAAACAACAATGTGCACACACACACACACAGGGCCACCACTATTATGTCACTCACGAAGGTGCCCTCCACCGTTGGCTTGTCGAACAAATACAGTAGTTCAACTATGCACGGCGCAACTGTAATTTATTGGTCCATATATGTAGTAGTAGATATATGTAGGGTCTCTGAAGGATCATGATTTAAGCGGTCGTTGACATCCTCCTGTTGTAGCGGAGCATGACCTTCCCCTTGGGCCCCGGCATGACCACGTTCCAGTCCGTCTCAGGGAACGGCGACACCATCTCCATCTCAAAGTTCCTCAGTAGGTGGCTCCATATCACCTTGATCTGCATGTACGCGAACGCCTCGCCTACGCAGGCGTGCCGCCCACCACCGAAAGCCGTGTACGAGAATGCTCCGCCGGCCGCGTCCTCCCCTCTGCCGGGGCCGAACCGGTCCGGCTTGTACCTCTCCGGGTCCTTGTACACGTGCGGGAGACGGTTGTGGATCACCAGCGGGCTCGCGACCGTATGCCCCTCCGGGACTTGGTACTCGTCGCCCTCCATGGTCCGCACGGTAAAGCTCCGCCGCGCGTGGCGCAGCAGCATCATGGCCGGCGGGTGAAGCCGCAGAACCTCCTTGATGCAGCGGTGGAGGGTGTCCATCTCTTGCAGGACCTCGTAGTCCACGCGGTCCCCGAGCCGCTCCACGATCCGCTCCTGCTCCTGGACGGCAGCGCGCAGGTGCTTGGCGTTGGCACGCGCGAGCAGGCGCGCTCCGGTCCATGTGCCCGTGCTGGAGCTTGTGTGCTGCCCTGCGAACAGCGCCGAGACCACCATCCCGACGACCTCCGTCTCGGTGGTGGCACGGCCGTCTTTGTACCTGGAATCGATCAGGCACTGCAGCATGTCGTTTGGGCCACCGTCGGGGTAGCTTGTTTTGCGGGAGCTGACGATGCCGGAGAATATCTCGCAGAGCCTAGCGCGTGCCGTGTCGCGTCTGCGGTGCGCCGGGATCGGCAGGTGCGGGAATAGGATGGTGACGAGGCGCATGCCGTCGTTGAGTTCACGGAGGTGCGTTGCGACCTCGGCCAGCATCTTGGCCCGAACCTCCTCCCCGAACAAGCACCGGCTGGCGATGAGCGTGACAAGGTGCTCTAGCTCCTGCTTCAAGTCAACCGTGCCGGTTGGTCCCCATCTCGCAAAGTATTCCTTCATGCAATAGTAACATACACAAGTAGTACGTAGTAGACATCACATCAGACTTTCTAAACGATGGAGACAACTATATTATATACTTAAAGATGATGCCATCTTAATTATTTCCTACCTCGACTTCTTGCACCATGAGTCGGGCGTAGGACCTGAGCTTGGCCGGCTTCATCGCGTCGCCGAAGAAGCGGAATTGTTCGCGGCGAGTGGCGAAATCTACGTCGAAGGCAACGCCAGGGCCGAAGGTCGGAATGGTGAACTGTGAGACCTCGTCCTGGCTGATCTCCGTATCCAGCCCTTGGAAGAAATGGCTTGACACATCTGGCCCAACCAGGAAGGTCACCTTGCGTTGCAACAGTCTCATTGTGAACACGCTCCCCATCTCTGCATGGGCGTCGCGGATTACTTGCAGCGGGCCCTTAATGAGAAGCGCCGGGAGGATCCCTAGTAGGGGAGCCCCTGTGGCCACGGGCGGCGGAGGAGGTGATCGTTTGGTTGTTCGGGAGAACGTCGCTCGTTGCCATGCCATTCTGATCAACACAATTGTGACCAAAATAGGAAAAGATGCTAGCCAAAGGACTCTTGTCAATTCCATCTTTGCACTCCAAATGCGACGGCCGGGGCTAATTCTGTAAGAACGTGGTAAAACAAGTTAGTAACTGAGTTGTGACTTGTGAGTACGCGAGACACCCATCAATAATGTAATCACATGTGCTCCTAAAGCCAAAGCTACCACACAAATAGGGTAAAAATTCAGCTACCCTAAATTTTGCTCAAATTTTCCTTGCCCAAAAATTGGCCAACATTGGCAAGCAAACTGAACTAGTTGCCAAAGAGACATTGGCAAGCCAAAATATTGGCAGCCATTCAAACAAAAAACAAAGTTTTCTTCTTGACCCAAAAATTGCTAAGGTATGTTTTGGGCACCATCCAGACATGTCCATATCATTGCTGGTATTTAGAATTCATTATATCTTTGTCTGCTATATACGTAGACATGTCTCAAGAATACTATTTTTGTAATATTGCAATTTGTCGGGTCTTACACATAGGCTTCCATGGTAATGTTTTGTCGACATAACATTCTCCAAAACGTGAACTTAATTATCGGTATATTTGAGATGGATCTGCTTATTGAGATGCTAAATATTAATACAATAGATGATACTCCTCTCGACACAGAATTGAAAAGTAATTTTCAAATTTTGCATTGAATATAAATTCATTTGTTAAGATTGAAAACATGTGAGAAATTCCTAAAAAAACAAAATAAAGATAAAAAATATTAACATGAAAAGTTAAACATGCCATAACTAAATGCAAGATTTAACCCCACTTAAATGCATTCATGCATGCTGCATGGCAGAGAGGGATTCCATTTAGATCACACTGATGTTTGTAGATCAAACCAACAAAACCAATGGCCAAAACAATTTTGATGATGTGGCACATTCTAAGAGCAAAAAAAAGGATATTAATGCTTGCTAGTTCCGAAGAGAAGAAAGCTATATGTAGCTATAAGATATATAGATATAGACTGCAAGATTTATTTTTAAAAAGAATTTGTTTGAGATAGAAGAAAGCTATATATAGATGCTTAAGTATGACACTATTTTCCTGCGAAAAAGTTATGCCTTGCGTGCGGGTCAGAACTTACATGACAAGGAATTTCCCTACGTTAGGGTAAGTGTGACACTATTATAAACAATTTACATATGTTATACCGCTAGCTATACTTGCATGTATGTATTTAGCTCTCTTCAAGGAATGCAAGCTTACACCTAACAGTTGCTTCTGGCCTTCAGGGACTCTGTAGAGGATGGCAAAGTGAAGCGCAGGTGCATCAAAGATCTATGGGTGTTTAGCCTAGGGCACTCTGCTCACCTAGGTCTGAGCTACCCGGCGCCCAAAATGATTCAGTGGGAGATGGAGAGACTAGGGAGTGCGCTGCGCGGATATTTATAGTGGAGGAAGTTAATTAAGCCAGCAAACGATCACATGTCTAGTGGGCATGGTTAATGAGAAGGTCTAGACCGGCCTATTAGTCATCCACATGTGGTTAATTAATACAGATTGCTAATTCTCATCCAGCTAGCTAGTAGATGAGTATTAACAAATTCTTCTCTAGTTCCTACTCCCTACGTATCTAATAAGGCTTTTTAGAGATTTCAATACGAACTAAATACAGATCTACATAAACATATTTTAGAGAATAGATTCACTCATTTTGCTCTATATATAGTACATATTGAAATCTCTAAAAAGACTTATATTTAGGAACGGAGGGAGTACATCATTTAATTATCTAAAAAATTTAAAAAATCATCATAAATCTCCGCATAAAGTCAAATGGCATTTGAATTAGATAAGACTTAGTTCAGTCGCATCTAGATGGAAGGAAAGAAGAAACGCTCATCGCGTCGCTCCCAGGGCGACACTAGGGGCCCAACCGTAGCACCACCAGAAGCCCCTCGATCTCGGCGTTTCCCCTATCGTCGCAGTGGCGGTGGGCCCAACACCAAAGGTGCCTGAGCGGGTGGTTCATGATGGTGACTCCCTGGTTCGGCTAGGGTGGTGCCTGTGGGAACATCACGCGTGGCGGCCAGAGCAGAGTCCCTTGGATGATGCAGCGGTGGTTGTTGCCTCCATGGTCTTTCCTGGCGGTGGGCTATGGATCTGATTCCCGCCCAGATCCGTCGTTGGTGTGGCTCTTGATCGGCCGGCAGCACGTAGAGGTGCTAGTGAGGGGCTGCCGAAGT